CTTTATACTGGAATAAATATCAATTTGTTCCATATCTTTATAATGAAATAAGAATCCATTTGTTCCATATCTTTATACTGGAATAAATATCAATTTGTTCCATATCTTTATACTGAAATAAGAATCCAATTGTTCCATATCTTTATACTGGAATAAATATCAATTTGTTCCATATCTTTATAATGAAATAAGAATCCAATTGTTCCATATCTTTATACTGGAATAAATATCAATTTGTTCCATATCTTTATAATGAAATAAGAATCATTTGTACCATATCTTTATACTGGAATAAATATCAATTTGTTCCATATCTTTATATTGGAATAAAAACCATTTGTTTCATATATTGATATTGGAATAAAAATCCATTTGTTTCATATATTTATATTGGAATAAAAATCCATTTGTTCCATATCTTTATGTTGGAATAAAAATCCATTTGTTCCATATCTTTATGTTGGAATAAAAATCCATTTGTTCCATAGCTTTATGTTGGAATAAAAATCCATTTGTTCCATATCTTTATACTAGAATAAAAGTCCATCTGTTCCATGTCATTATACTAGAATAATATATTTATGCCTCACAAATTTAATGCGTTCTTTAATAAAAAAATAAGATTTGTTTATTTGTCTCAACCACTTTTTTTCGCTTGTTGATAGTCTCAAGCAGTTCCCAACCTAAATACATCTATATTTGATTTTGTACTACAGTTTAAGTAATACGGTCTTTTAATAGAAGAAAAAAAAAGACGTATTAGACACTTACAATTAATATAGGGCCAAACAAGGACTAGAAGCTAGCGTGTCCCGATTGTGGATCCGATGATTCAACTTTGCGTCCCGTTATTGAAAAAGAAAAATTGCGCTTCCCACTTTAAGGCCATGGGTGCGTTATAAGAGTTACGGTAGAATTTCACTATTCGGATAGATAACACAGACCCGCAAGGTTAAACTTCATAAAATTAGTTTTGGTCTTAATAGCGGATTTTCCAGAATTCAGCTACGCAGATTTCGAAAATAATGTTCAGTTTCTTCTATCACGTACAAATCAGAAAGAAAAAAATTCTTACTCAATTCAAATTTACCACAAATATAACAAAATATGTTTGAGCCACTCACCCAACTTCTTGTTGCCATAGTGACGAATGAATAATATTGAAAATAAAAAAATGTCAAAGTGCATGTACAAACAGGTACCATCCAGAAATGACACTTAATGCGGCCTGCTAACCGTTTATATACTAGCGGCATGTTTCTCGTGGGTTCTAGAACGATCGATAAGACTCTCACGTCGCAATTGGTC